GTGGGCTGGCTTTCCCTAGCTGAATGCTAGATAGAGCAGGGGTTTAAACACAATGGCAGCCAGGCCATCTTGTGCCCAAGACTAGCATACATTTGGACATAAGGGAAGGGCCTTGTGAGCTAGTGGCAGAAAACTGCAAAGCAGTGGCATCATCAGATACAACATCAATAACAAGACTGGGACAGACCTAAACCTGAGACTTTGAGAACATCTTGCTAGCCATTGCAGATGATGGAGCTGGAGGGTCCAATAAGCAGATTCGGAACAAAAAACAAGACTGAACAAACATTACTAATCAAAAGACCCCCAATTCAGTCATGAAAACAAGATCTGAGAGCTAGATTAAGCATGATGGCAACAGCAAAATAAAAAAGTTTAGCCCTTATTATAAGCAATTATTTTTGACAAAAAAGGAAAGACAATAGAACAGAGCAGCTTGTCAGTTTCACCCTTTATATTCTTTTCAGTTTCCCATGGGATGCACTGGGGTCAAAGTGACAAACACTGTAGGATAAAATACAGGATAAAAATTTACAGAAAATTTTAAGTGGAGAGGCGTAAGTCACCACAGGACAACTGTCCTCAAAGTCAATAAATAAATGATGTAGAAAAATATCCCCCTCCCTACTTCTTGAGGTCAATTTGACCCCACTGACAAGTATTAATTTGAGGAAGTTCAGTTTAGCATTTTGCAACAGTCATTACTACCTTACAAATAAGAACCAAGCTCTCATGGCTGACTATTTCGGCTTTTATACCCAAGGATTAACACTGCAAGAAAACTGAATTGCAATTAACTCATCATGAAAGTTCAGTAAGTAGCAGAGAATCAAAGACTCTACTTGCCAAGATTTGACAGCCAACCACTGACACACACAAAAGAGTGATAAGGTAAGTTATGCAGTTCAAGGTTGTTACCTTTGCAGTCAAAGATTTGTCTGCTTCAGCTTTCTGCTTCACCCTTGAATTCATTCGTCCACTTCAAGCAGTCGTATTTATACAAAGTATCCTAGAATACATAAAGAGTTATTCTGTTTAACTACAATCACAACCGTGCCAGAAGGTTCACATACTAGAACTTCATCCCGCTCCTCAAGACATTAGTTCCTCACCCTGGGTTGGAAGCCCTGAACTTTTAAGGTACACTATCAAGAGGCTCGTAAAGCCATACATCTTTTCCAAGGCCCTTAAGAATTCTCTTCAACAATTTTGATGTAGAACAGCAAGACTTTTCCCTTTGACCTATCTTCTGCATATACCTAAATCTTACAGAGAAGCTACTCAGGATTCTGAAGTCATAAGTACCTTGTATCTGTTGAGCCTGGATATTTGTTTTTAAAGTTTGCTGACAACCTAGCACTACAATGAAATTACACTATAAGATTTTTCATTTGCTTTTACTTTTACCATTTTTTCTTAGATCAAATGATCTTGCAGCCCTTTACTTGATGGCAAAATCTGGATGAGTTCTATGCACACCACCTCACACTTCTGTTCCTAGCAAATCATATCAGTGCCACAAGCCAAAGAGAATTAGGGCTACTTTCTACATTACAGCAGAGACCTCCATTTCTATCCCAAATGGGCCAATTTTTTTCGGAAGATATAAATGACATTCACACATTTGCAAATACACACAAAAAAACCCATGTTCACAGAACCATGACTTATTAATGCAAACATCCTCCAAACACCTGAGAAGAGGCAAAGCCAGCCTATTATGGAAACACAGGGAATAATCTTTGCTATATGAAACGCAGTAGTCCTTGAATTGTAATCAATTACAAATGACTGGGGCTGTTGCTAGAGCATCTACCTTTTTGCAAGTGCTATGGCTAAGCCAGTCACACAATTATCAAGTTCCTCAGTCTACTCATTCTTCTCCTATACCTTCTCCCCCGCTTCTTCACACAAAGACACATTCTAACCATCAACTACACTTATGTGATTTTACTACTGTAGCTATAAGCGGGCAGCAGAAGTCGGAGGACAAACAACTGATTAATCATCTTTAGCATCTGTCTGAATGACTGAAGTATAGCACAGGTCAAGAGGTCTTCAATGAGTGGTATTGAATACGTCCCATTGATTCTTTAAGGTGAACTGGCAACCTAGATCTAGCCCTGCCAGGCACCCCTGGTTTCACATTTTAACTCCAACGGAGTTAGCATTTTGTCTACTGTTTAATTCCCAAAGAATTAATTCCCAAAGAAAATAAGTTTAAGAGTCATGGAAGCAATCCTGAACTTGGTCCTAAGTAATGCTCAAGATCTGGTGAGGGATGTGTGATAGCACCAGTTGGGAACAATGACCATAATGCTATTAAGTTTAGCATTTATGGCCCCGGTCACGCGGCAAAGTTGCCGTGGGAGAGGCACGGGAGTCCCACGGATTTTCCGGGCGCGATCTCACCCCAGCATCTGGGAAGCGCAGTGCTCCTGTGGCGAACCCGTGGCTCCCCGCCGGAGGTGCGGAGTTAAAAACTAGTACCTACAAGGTACTCGTTTCCTGAAACCGTGGGTCAAGGGCGGGCGTCTGATCGTGTTCCCGCTGGACTTACGTGGCATCCGGCGCCCACTGCTGTTAGTCTCCGCAGGTTGCAGAACAGCGCCCAACAGCGCATGCGCACAAAGAGCAATTGCTTCTGCGCCGCGCTGCAGGATGCCCTTCTGATCGGCATTTCCCCCAAACCATGGGACCTCGACCGGGACGTGTGCTCGGGCAGCCACGCGTTTCCTCCGGGGCAATTAGCCACGCCTCCCCCCCACGATATCTGGCCCACTTGACCGTGGCCTTAGTAAATAGGGAGTTGCCACAAAACACCAACACAACCACATTTAACTTCAGAAAAGGTAACTGCTCTTAAATGAGGGGGCTTGTGAGGAAGAAACTGAAAGGAAAGGTAAGGAGGGTCAAATCCCTTCAGGAAGCTTGGAGACTATTTAAACTACAACCCTGGAAGCTCAGATAAAATGTATACTGCAGGTTAGGAAATGTACAAATAGGCATAAAAAAGGCCTGCATGATTAAGGAACAAAGTAATAGAAGCAGTAAAAGGTAAGAAGAATTCCTTTAAGCGGTGGAAGGCTAGTTTGAGTAATTTAGCAAATAAAATGCAAGTTGGTGATAAGACAGGAAAAAAGGGACTATGAGGAACATATTGCAAAAAACAAAGACCAACAATTAAAATTTCTTCAAATACGTTAGAAGCAGAACACCAGCCAGGGAGGCAGTAGGGCCACTGGAAGACCAAGGGGTAAAAGAATTACTAAAGGATGACAGGGAAATGGCAGAGAAGATAAATGCATTTTTTTGCTTTTTTCTTCACTGTGGAAGATGGGAGGTGCTTGCCCACTCTAAAACCACTGATTTCAGGAGGGGTGCTGAAAGACCTGCATTGGATTGAGGTGACAAGAGAGGAAGCCCTATGCCTGGTGGACAAATTAAAAACTGACAAATCAGCAGGCCCAGATGGCATACATCCAAGAGTTCTGAAAGAACTCAGGTGTGAACTGGTGGATCTCCTGACAAAAATATGCACTCCATTAAAATCTGCTTCCATTCCCAAGGACTGGAATGTACCTAACATAACTTCCATTTTAAAAAAGGTTCCAGAGGAGATCCAGGAAATTACAGTCTGGTCAGTCTAACATTAATAATGGATAAGTTGGTGGAATCCATTAAAGACAGAATTAGTAGGCACATTGATGAACAAAAACTATTGGGGAAGAATCAGCACGGATTCTGTAAGGAAAGATCTTGTCTCACTAACCTTTTAGAGTTCTTTGAGGGGGTGGACGAGGATGACACAATAGATAATGTTTCTCATCAATGGCTTCTAAGTAAACTTAGTGGTCATGGGATAAGAGGACAAGCCCTCTTGTGGATTAAAAACTGGTTAATTAACAGGAAAATGGGCAGTTTTCAAAGGGGAACGTGGTAAGCAGTGAGGTACTGCAGGGTTCATTTCTATGTCTGGTGCTTTTTAACTTGTTCATTAATGATCTGGCATTGGGAGTGAGCAGTGAAGTGGCTATGTTTGTGGATAACACTAATTTGTTCGGGGCAGTAAGAACCAGGGAGGACTGTGAGGCGCTGCAGACAGATCTGTCAAGGCTGGGCGAGTGAGCATCAATGTGGCAAATGAGGTTCAACGCGGGCAATTGCAACACAAAGCACATAGGAGCCAACAATCCTAACTATAAATATATGTTGATGGCAGTAACTGACCAGGAGAGACCTTGGAGTCTTGGTAGATAACTCTAAAAAATGTTGACTCTGTGTGTGACTGCAATATAAAAGACAAATGCTATGCTGAGGACTATTTGGAAGGGGGCTGAAAACAAATCAGTTGGTATCATAATGCCCCTGTATAAATCTATGGTGTGGCCTCATTTAGAATACTGTGTACAGTTCTGGTCACCACACCTTAAAAAAAAACATTAAAGCATTAGGAAAAGTGCAGAAAAAGGGCAAGTAAGGTTAAAGAGGTTAGGGCTTTTGAGTTTAGAAAAACAATTGTTGAGGGGTAACGTGATAGAGGTTTACAAAATTATGCATGGGATAGAGAAAGTAGAGAAAGAACTACTTTTCTCCCTTTCTTACAATATAGAAACTCATAGGCACTCAAATTAATAAGCAGTAGGCTTAGGAACAGATAAAAGGAAGTACTTCGTCAACCAAAGAGTAACATGTAGAATTCACTGCTGAAGGAAGTGGTGGTGGCTGTCAGCATAATCAGCTTCAAGAGGGAACCCCTCTTGAACATATGGAACAGAGGTCCATGAGGGGCTTAGCCACAAGGTATAGATGGAACACTCTGCTTGGGGCAGTGATGTTCTGTATTCTTGGTGCTTGAGGGACAACAGTGGGAGAGCTTCTGCAGTTCTGCCCCACTGGTGGACCTCCTGATGGCACCTGACTTTTGGCCACTGTGATATAGCGTGTTGACTAGATGGGCCATTGGCCTGATCCACCCTGGCTTCTCTCATCTTATGCTTAATAACAATGAGAACCCATTATCACATGCAGTTACCTCACTCCATATCACAACACTAGTTGGCACCAGCTTTATTATGGATTCTTATCTTCCATATGGCACAGAGATCACGAGCTAGTAGTATTGTGGGAACTAAAAGCATATATCTAGATAATGAAGTAACTGGCAACATAGAAGCTGGTTGTCCCTACCCTAAAGACATCAGTTTCAATTATGTTCCAAAGCAAGTATTGCTCAGAGCTACACATATACCTTTCAGGAGACCTAAAAAGATGTGGGGTTTGTTCTTTTTTAAAAAACAGAGGACTGGAACCATGTTGGTTTATGAAACTGAGAGGTATTCTTAGAATTGCTTCTCCCTGCCCCCAAACAACAGAGCAGCCCTCAAACGCCCGAGAATGTAGCCCTTACTCACAAATCGTATGTAGCCCATATTATCATATACGCAGTGACTGCAGTTTAGCAAGCTCTTAAATACACACTACAGCCCGCCCCAAGTGCATTTTCAAGGCCAGAAATGAAGGAAGCAGTAGACCGTGCTTAAGCGAGGCAGTTTCACGGAGTACCCATATGGACACGGGGATACGGTTTTGCCACTACTAAATACCCAGCAGCGCCCTCCAACCCTTCCTTCGGGAGTTGCCGCACTAATCGTGCAATCATCTGCAGAGATACACCAGTCTGAGCCCACTGAAGACAACGGGTTTAACCTACAGTAAACCTTCCCAGGACTGCGCTGTAAACGGTTCACACGAGCGTGTTGCTCAACTGAACGGGCTCTCCCAAACGGACCTTTGTCGCAGCACCTCAAGCTGAGTAAACAACGGAGCCAGGCAGCACAACCAGACGAGTCCACAGCAAGCCTGTCGAACACAGGCACGCACAAACGGTGCCTCCTACATCACACCGCGCGATGGAAGCACTACGAGGGGTGGGAGAGCAAGCCTCTTCCGCCCAAGGAATATCTCCTATTCCCCCACCTCCATCTTCCACCAACAACTTCAAGCAACGGAAAGCAGGCGCAGAACCTCGAGGGAGCAGCGGACTCCCATCAGACACGCTTTAAATCCACGCTGGTCTCTCCGCAAGGACGCCCCGTCCGCCCAACGGCGTTTCGCCACGCGAACTCACCCCGCCGACAAAAGCCAACCGCGGATTTCTCTCCACGCGACGCCACCCGCTATTCCCGCGCGCTCGCTTGAACAAGGAAGTCTTTCGCGCGCAGTCATAAATACCTCACACGTCAGTGGGCAGGACTTGGGCAGAGACGCGCTCTCCGCAGCTACCCATTCGCCGGACCAAAAAACCTCCAGCCAATCACAGACTGACCTGGAGAGAGCCACGTCCAGGTTCTCCAGTCTCCTCTCGACGCCCCGCCCTTCCGTATTGAACAGTGACGTCTTCCCGCAATAGAACTCTTGATAGGCTTGGTTGATTGGTTGCTGAGGGGAAAGTGGGATGGAGCGAGGGATGCGGGGAGTCCCGGGTCAGAATTCCCACTCAGCTATCGAAACTTGCTGGGTGACTTTGGGCTGGTCCTTCTCAAGTTCTCAGCCTCACCTAAAGAGTTGTTATGAGGGTCAATGAAATAAGTAGTTAAATCATAACTCCAGTGATCTGTGACATACAAAGGCAGTGGGCATATGCGTTAATTACGTGCTCTGGCTCCTGAAGAGCAATGGTCTTTTTTACCACTGTGAATACAGCATCGTGATTCCTTCTGGCTTCCCCCCATATTGCATATCTTTCATTAACTTGTTTTGGAACTGTGTTTTTGGAAGAACTACAACCAAACCATGTTTACACGGATGGGAAGGTGTGCACTTTGTCATTAAAAGCATTCCCTAGATCTAGATCCAGTGGGCAGCTATGTTGGTCTGAAGCAATGTGCAAATCTAGTACTCCATGGAGAAGGGTTAGGCTAATTCTCCATCTGCAGGGAGTTCTTTCTATGAAGCGGCATTCAGTCAAACAAACCTTCCCATGCACTGAAGTGGTACAGGCCAGGGCTGGTGTTTCACCTCTTCAGTTGATGCCAGTTGTTAAAGGAGAAGGGCAGCCTGTAAATGTTTGAAGATATGAATAAATAAAACTAGGCCTAGGACCTGTGCTCCCTGTAAGCTGTGGAGTCTCGTGAGCAAAAATTCTACTTTGTGAGCTACTGGCATTAAAGTTGTGAGCGAGCGATTTGGCTACTGCATAATTTTTTTAAAATTTATTGAATGACAAAACATATACAGATATTGATTTAGAAATTTAAAATTATTTTTAAAATGACTCTGACTATAGTGTCTCTCAGGTCCTCTGGGATGCAATTAAGGCATTGGTCAGAGGGAAGTACATTGCAATTGCTTCAATCTTCTGTGGAGACCTCCTCTCTAGTGCCCACTGTCTTTGCGAGGCTGCCGGTGAGCTGTTGAAAGGGGGGTGTCACTTATTCTTCAGCCCATTCATAATTAGCTTAGTGGATGCGGCCTACTGGCTACCCCTGTTACCAATAGATTAGTTTGCTCTGGAGCCATCCTTCCTGAGCGAAGTGAACCGTAGGCTGAAAACTGTGAGCTAGCTCACACTGACTCAGCTTAGAGGGACCACTGCCTAGGACTGAAGTCTTTACACAGACTTGCATTTCAGATTTACTGCTCAGAAGACAAAAGCCATCTTAGGTTTACTGTTGTGAACAGTTGTATTATGTGAGTTCCAGAGTCATTGAGCTGAAATCTGCAAAATAGGATTTTTTTAAAAAAAAAATTAATCCCCCCCATTGAACCCAGTTTATTGAACAACAACAAAAAAGGGCATCTTCTCCTCCTTTCTTTTCCAGTGACTTCTGAGCTTCCCCACTCAGCAGAGGGCTGGATGCCTCCGCTCCTGTCCCTGTCACCTGGTGACCAGTGCTGCCTCTAAGCTGTGGAGTCTTGTGAGCAAAGATTCTACTTTGTGAGCTACTGGCATTAAAGCTGCCATCCTTCCTGAGTGAAAACAAAAATATGTGACCTAGAGGCTAAAAAAACGTGAGCTAGCTCACACTAACTCAGCTTAGAGGGAACACTGCTAGTGACACTTGCTCTTTAAGAAAGGACAGGCTCCCCAGAGGCCAGCACTAACCCAAGAAAGCCATGGCAGCAGCCACATGCCCTCTGAATAGCCTTTGAGAACCGATGTATCTGAAGAAGTGAGTAGTGACTCATGAAAGCTCATTTTTTGTTGTTGTTGTCCAGTCAATACCCTGCTACTGGACTCTTGCTCTGGTCTAGAACTGAAGTAATAAGATAACTTTAATGTACTGTCATATAATAAACCTGAGTTTCTGTTTATTGTTTTCTTTTAAACTGTCCCTGGCTGGCCAGGTGTTCATAATAATGGAACCACTCCTTAACTTAATGGAAAAGGTTTACCATTGTGCACCATTATACTTCAGCTGTTCTTGTTAATTTCTTCGGGTTGAGAGGAATTGTAAAGAATCCTTCACTTTAATCCAAAATAACTTCCCTTCTGTCATTTAGAAACTCTTTCATGAAAACCACCATATAATTAATACCAGAAATCCAACGGAAAAGCTTCAAGTTACACCACACTGAACACAAAAGGCTTGATGTGTATAAAAACATGTTGTGACATTTAAACATTTTGCCAGTCTCAATACTGCTTTTTCTCTGATTCTGTATATCAGAATGGGTTTCAGATTCTTGGCGTGTTTCAAAACAAATCAGTACATCTGGAGTTCTGACCGTTTGCACTTCAATAGAGGTTTGGGGGGGGGGGAATTAGGTTTCTCATTGAGTTCAGCTAAGGTTACCAGATGTCCTTTTTTTGTGTGTGTCCGTCCTCTTTTGGGCTCTTTTTAAAAAATTGATGAAAATGTTCTCTTTTGGGGTTGGAAGGTTATGAATATTCCTAGTTGGTAACAATGATCACAGCTTAAATAGTCAGGGTATTTAAAATGAGATTTGTCATAGTGATCACTTGTTTGACGTGCTTACTCGGGAAATATGTCCTCTTTTATGCTTTTCAAAATATGGTAACCTTAGGGTTGCCAGCTCTGGGGAAATATCTGGAGATTTGGGGGGTGGAGGACTTCAGTGGGGTATAACGCCATAGAGTCCACTTTCCACAGTGGCCAGTTGCTCCAGGTGAACTGATCTCTGTCACATGGAGATCAGGTGTAATAGAGGGAGATCTCCAGCCACCACCTGAAGGTTGACAACCTTAGGTAACCCTCATTCAGCCAATTTGCTTTATTGTTTGCTGCAAAAAAGTGCACCATTTAAAGAGGTTTTGGAAGTCAACATACAGAAAACACTCTGTCCTGAATGATTTAGATTCAGGTGGTCAGCCGTGTTGGTCTGAAGCAGTAGAACAAATTTAGAGTTGAGTGGCACCTTTAAGACCAACAAACTTTCATTCCCAGTGCCATCTATCATTCCAATGTATTTGAAAAAGTGTGCAGGCACACAAAAGCTCATACCTTGAATGTTAATGTTGTATATGCCATTAAAGGTCTATTGATTGATTGATTGAATAAAACTTTGTTGGTCTTAAAGATGCCACCAGACTCTAAATATGTTCAACTGAATAATTTGTTTTTGGTCATAGATAGCATAGAGAGCATAGTATTTGCTATTATACATGGTGGAATAGCCAGTATCTAGGGATGGGTGTAAAAGCCACATTATAACGTTTCTAGGAGGAAGTTCTATTCAAACAATTTCCTTTTTTTCATTAGAGATGCTGTCCACTGAATAGTGTTGCTTGGATCAGGATTCAAATGCCACAGCTGCCATGGACTTTACTGGCTTTGGGTAAGCCACCATCTCTGTTGACTGATGCACTTAACCATCTTGTTTGTGACCAAGGAGGTTTGCAATGATGTACAAATCCATCAGCTTTAGGTTGTGGCAAATGACCTACTTGCCATGAGACACAGCTAACACAAATATGACTGTTAACATGCCTCATCTCTTAATTCCAGTTCTAAATCTATTTACTTGGACGTAGTTCCATGTTAATTTCAATGGAGTATATTTCCGGGTACATATGCTTGGGGCTGCAGCTTTGTGATAAGAATAAGAGATAATGATCTGACTTATGGCTTTATTGTTAAACTTCAGCAAAATAAAGTTTATAAAGCACTTGGACAATGTTTAAAGTGCTATTTAAGTAATATTACACTATTGATAATTATTACACTATTAAGTAATACTACGCCATTGATCATTATTACACCATTGATCATTATGGTTGTGACAGGCTTTTTAAATTTCTTAAAATGCAAAAGGAAAATCTACATTGGCTAGAATGTATAGTCAATGAATTTTTTAAAATGTGTTTATTTAAAACATCTTATATGCTGCCACTCCAGAGGACTGCTTGAGACAGTTCACAAAGTAAAAATAACGGAACAAAGTCATAAAAATTACAAATTATGAATAATGAAACAAGTAATTAAAACAAGCCAGGGGCATTCCCAGTGTCATCCGAAGCAGAGTTACACCCTCCTAGGCCCATTGACTTCAGTGGACTTAGAAGGATTTAACTGTGCTCAAAATGGCACTGTAAAACATTCAGCAGATTCAGCTCACTTTATATCCAACATGTGTGCCAAAACACTGTGAGGGAAGCTGGACTTCATTTTAGTACAATAACATATAAAAATTTTAGAATTATCTGACAGAAACTCCACTGGAAGATTAAATCCCATTTGGAGGTGGACAGAGGATTGATACAGAGAAAAATAAACCCCAAATATTGATTGACTACAAAAGTCAAATCCAAAGGAATATCTGTTGGGTTTATTTTTGGACCAAGACAGTCCAAGATCTACAAGGCAATCCTAAACAGAATTATACCCTTCTAACTCCAGTGAAGTCAGTGGGTGTAACTCTGCTTTGGACGCCACTGTGGGTGAATAATAGAATGAGGCTGAAGTGTACAGAGTACTTTCCTGATCCTACAGCATATATCTGTGGTACAAAATGTTCTGCGATTATTGTGTCAAGTCTTCCTTACAACAACCACATGAAGTAGGTGGTTACTATTATTTCTAACTTAGAGAAGGCAGGGGAACCATTGCTCAGAGAGATGGGGAACTGGCCAAAATTGTCTTGGCTTCATACCTTTGAAGTAAAATGTGGTCTTTGACAATAAGTCCTAGTTCATGATTAGCTGGACAGTATTGCCTCTTTTATTAGTGACTGGGGTAGATCTAA